GGTCTATAGCGTCGCTTGCCTATCCCGATTATGACGTAGCAAGTCATATCAACTAAGGGTCTCGTGTTTATTTTGTAGTTTTCGCAGCTTTGTTTTATTATTCAAGTTAATGTGATTATCATTATTTTATTGATTATTTTTATCTTGCATAATGGAAAATAGTGACATGTATGGATCACAAAATAAGAGCTGTTTTGTGCCAGGATGCAAGAATACCTCAATAAGTGCTCCAAACAAACTCTTTCTAACCGTTCCCCATGATTATGCACGTAAAGTTTTATGGTTCAAAGCAGCTAGACGTGATGTTCCTAAATGAAAATCAATGTTTTTTGTTGCGAGGATCATTTTAATGAAAGTACGAACAAAAAGCTAATGATAAGGCAGACAGAATATGCCTTAGATCGTACTTTGTGTTCTGGGCAAGTTCTACCTTGTCCATTGCACAAAGAACCCTCGCGTTTCAATTCCACATATCCGATATCACCATATTGTTCTCGTAATGCCTAAAATACAAATTTGCCAGTTCATTTTACTCTTAAAGCAGCCAGGTGTATAGGTTAGGTTAAGGTGAATAAGTGAAAATCTATATATTATTTACCTAAATTAAACCAATACACACAGATTAGTATATTAAGGAGAGCTGCTGCTTTGACACCCTTAAATTCGGCTGAATCAAAGCGTTCGTCTTTTTTTAAAATTCGGTAACCATAAAAATATGTACACATGGTAAATTGTTTGTTGACGCTTTAAGGAATCCTTCTGAGGCCATTTTTTTGTTTAACACAAACTATAAATTATTTAAAGCCACAAAACCATTAATGAAAAACTAAACACTATGCACAGAACGTAAACAATCCGCCATTTATATGACCAGATACGTCACAACAATAGGATTGCGTTTTGGAGATTCATGAAAAATTTGAATTCTACCCGAATTTGTTTATTAAATATTTAACAAAACAGCAATAGATCGACAGTATAAACGTATTTAATCTTCATATATATATATATATATTACCATAGATTAAGGTTCAGTTTGTAGGAATTTTTGATACAATGAAAACACCCTACCCTGTTGCCTCCGCTTAACGCATTTCCATTAGTTATTGTGATATTTGTTTATAATAATGTATTGCGCCGTATCACTGGGGATGTGTCAAGTGCACCCACTTCAACTCACTTCCCCAGTGTCTTCTCAGGTGCAAAGCTTCTCGCGCTCAGGCTGTCTAGATTTAGATCCGCACTCCAACTCAAACACAGTGTAACACTATGAATAAACGACCGTTTCAACACAGCTCAGCGTTTTGATTGATTTGCAGACGCTTTCTGTGAGGAAAACCGAACTAACACCAGCCTCCAAAGCGCAACCTCCTTTATCTTTGCCTCTTTAAGATCGCACTATTTCTCTTCCTTAGAGCCCCCGTCATTATGTGGTGACCGACACCTACCCAGACCGTAGGCAAAGACAAGCCGAAGAAGTCTACTCCTACTCTTACAGCTCAAACGCTGACTCTTCCAACCGCTATGGTGACCTTAACTCTCGTCCTCAAGTCCGCTCTTCCAGCACGGTCGAAAGTGTGACTCGCACCTCCACTGGAGGGCCCGGAGGGCACACTTACACCTCCGAAAGGTCTTCGCGTAGCCGTGGAGATGGACCTGGAGGCTACCATTCCAGCTACAGCTCTACCAGCACTGGGAACTTGCCTGGAGGCACTTCTTATCGTCATTGGTCTTATCGCGTCTAATTTAGTTCCTTTTTGGAAATTTGCCCCAAATAACACTCTATTGTCTCTAATTTTTAACTAGTCTGCCTCAAAATTGATTAATAAACTAGATGGAAAGTCTTCAATTAGTGTAGGCAAATCGATTTATTTTTGTATATTAGCTGTACTCCCACTTGTTTTGTATTTTCCGAATAAACTCCATTTAAACCCGATTTGAGTTTGATTTAAGCGTAGGCCCTCCCATGGAATCCTAAGCCCCAGTGCCTGGTCCTCTTCTACTAACCAACTGTGTGTGTTTTTTTCTGTTTGTTTTCTTCAACTTTGAGTAATACTCTTCTTATTTCCCGTTTTTGTCTTATGGTATCGGCAATTTTTGTAGTACATTTTTGTATAGATTTTTGTGTATACATCACTAACTGTTCCTTTCTTTTGTTTCCTATGGGGTTCCCTCGTGCAGTATGAGCCTTCCCGTCAAGTGAGAATTCTTCCGGGTTTGGGAAAGGTAAGTTTTAGATTAATTTTTTTTTCTTTTATTACTTTAATTATATCTAAAATACCAATATTTCATTTTGTTTAAATATTTCTTTTTCAACGTTACACCGACAAATTTGGAGTCACTCTTGACCTGAATAAATGCTGATTGCTGTTAGCGATCCTCTTTCTGTTCATTCTTTCTTTGGTTGGTGCGTGTTTTTCAAAATTTTCAAGAGTGAAACTAGACAAATTAATGTCC